CGATCCTTGCGACACGTGTTACGGCTGGCGTGCGGCCTTGAAATACCGTGACAAACTGAGACTTTAGAACGGTCCTTGCCTCAATTTATCTGTAAAGTAACGGATGAAATTAATAAACATTTGTCGTCTTATGCATCCATACTGAAATGGAAGTTGGGCTTCCTTGTGCTTTTGTCTGTCTGTCTGTCTATCTGTGTGCGAAGAGAGAAATGTGGTGGATGACTTGTTACTGGTTCATTGTGTCCATGTTGGTTTCCCTTTTGTTGTTGTTGTTGTTTTCTTTTGGCTCTTGGACGGTTTTGCCTTTTATCCGCTCCCGCAGGTAAGAAAAGATTCCAGCGTCACCGTGACGAGTTGCATTCTGAACGCACGATGTGGAACGTTGTTTCTCAGGTTGGGAAGGTGGCCTACCGCACTGCTGCGAAGACAGGCCTGGCCGCCGGTACAGAGCAGCCCCCGTACCCGTGTGCACTGCCGCTACAGAGTTTAGAAGACCCCGAAGACACGGCTCAGGTGCAGGAGCTCCTTGACAACATTTTTGTCGCCGCAAAAGACCTCCTCGAAAACGACGCCGAACACCAGTGGCGCCTTGTGGATTACCAGGACCCTGACAAGGGCGGCGACTTGCACCTCTTCACTCGTCCCCACATTGGCCCCTTCAACTTCGCCAAGGCGACGGTTTCTTTTATGGGTGTGACGCCGCAGCAGGTGCTTGACACCATGCACAGTGATGAGGAGGCAAGCCGAAAAAAATATTCGGCCAATATAAGCCATTTCGAGATTCTTGCAAGGCCGACGCCCACGTCCAACGTACAGTATCACGAGTATTGGGCACCACCCCCAGTCTCCGGTCGCGAGTTTATCTTTCTTGCCGAGAAGAAGTACGTGGAAGAGGATGACGTTTATTACGTCTATGGGTGCAGCATTGATTACGCACCACTCAACAAGAAGTCCAGTGGCCATGTGCGCGCATCGTGCCTGTGGGCTTGGGAGTTAACTCCTATTGGCAACAACACGATGGCCACGTACGTGAGTTGCATGAACCCTCGCGGCTGGACACCCACGTTCATTATGGGATGGCTGAAGTCAGAGATTGGGAAAGAGCTGGTAGCATGTCGCCGTGTCCTGTATGGTGAGACCGTTCAATTGGAGCGCGCATCGCTCGTTAGCATGGGATTGAAAGATGAAGATGTGCTGCTGATGAGGAACCAGGCAGGCGAAGAGGAGCCATTGTCATGCTAGTGGTCCCACCCTTTTTTTTTTTTTTTTTATGAACGATTCACACAAAAAACGGTATATATATATATATATACGTGTGTGTGTAAATTACACTGCATATACACATTCCCTCGATGTAGACAACAAAGTACAATGAAAGTCGGTCCGAGGACCGGGCTACACAAAAGGGAAAACTGTGACCGGGAAAAAAAAACCTCGCCAAGTAGAAACGAAAACTGATGGTCTTTTCTTTCATCAGAAGAGAAAAAAAAGAAAAAAAAAAAGGAAAACAGGACAGCGGAAGGAAGTGAATATGTGCAGGAGAATTTGAAAACAAAAACAACATCTTCAAAATAACTTAGCAAAATTGAAGGAATAAAGTTTATTGCACGCGCCAAAGTAGCAGAGCGTGTCTAGTGTAGAACTTCTCTTTCACCAAGACGGTGAATAAGGGACCGAGAAATTTCTGTTGCGACGGTTTTTGTATCTTTTTCCCTTGTTGGATTTTGGCTATGATACTTCCGTTTTATTGTTGTTGTTGCCTTTCAATGAAAAAACAACAACAACGGAATGATGCCTGCGTGAAAAGAAAATACTTTAATTTTATTTTTTTCTCCACTTTACGGTATTTGTTCATATAGGAGACCATCAACCAGACACCATTTCTTGTTTGTTTTTTTGAAGGGTGGCGGTGTAAATGGCGCCACTACACATGTGTCTGGAAAAAATACCAAAAATAATAATAATAATATCTTTTTTTTTTTTTTTTTTTTTTTCAAATCTCCCATAGCGCTTATTGTCTGTTTGAAGACTTATGCTTTGAAAGGGAATTGAGTTGCTAGGATGGTCCATGGATTGGACGGCGTCCACGAGACACACACGACCACATTCTGAGGCGGGGTGGTCCAGCGGCACTTTGTCTTTGCCCAGCGAATTACCCGCCATTGAGTCATCACGTGGGCGGCGTTCTCACCATTAGTGGACGGCGAATTCGTTGCAAGGCGGGAACAAGACAAAGGAATGAATTGCACCTCGTTGCGACACTCTGTGGCTGCCATCATCATGCCGAGGAACCCTGAGTCCATTCGAGTCTCTCTGAAGAGGAAGAAGCACACCACTGTTTGGAGCAAGTGGGCGGCACTTGAAGGAAGGCAGTTGGCGCTGCACTGGCCCATATGAGTGTGCCCGGGCTCAGTTGGAGGGTAAAAAATATTGGCGTGCAGCTCAGATGCCCACGCGCAGTTCCGTGCGGTACGCATCCGATTGGCGCCGTTGCAAGGGTTGCTCATGAAAATCAATGGGACGACAACTTGGCGACCATCAGCACTCAGCCAGGCCCGTCACAAATCTCCACCGCTTCTGCCACGGGAAGTTGGAATGCTTCCCATACGGCAGAGACAATCGAAAGATCATGCAGATTCATGACGTGCCAGAGGAAGTGGAGCTGTTACTCGGCACACGGGGAACCAAGTGGGGAATCCGTGGCAGGCGGGGATTTGTACGGAGGATCGCAGTCGCACCATTTGACGGCGTATTGGAATGCATGATGGGTGCAACGCCTGGCCACAGCTCCTGGATGCGTCTTGGGCCACCTTTGCGACGCCGGCTGCGCCAGGTTCCGGCATGCAGACAGCCGTGAGGGGAACGGTGCGTCCTGGGCGTGCGCCATTCGCGGGGAGGAGATGCTCATGGAATCTTTTCAGTTGTCAGGGCGACTGCGCACACTCAGCCAAATGGATCCCCCGGACAGTGAATAACGATGCTGGAGCGCGGGTCGAGGACATTCAGGGTGCTGTCTAAATGCCCAGAAATGGGACTGCCCATCCCCCAGGCGGTTCAGAGAGCAAAGAAATAGCATGGCGCACCCCCGCCCAATGAAGCACGATGCCGCAAACGTGATTGGATTGGACAACACAACACGGCGTGCCGAGTGAAGCTGCGAAAGGAGGCCTATAAACACACACAAAAAGGACTTTCGGCTCCGGAAGCAATGACTTCTGGACCGGCACAGGCGGGACATCGTCATCAATGTACGGGTGCGGCCGCGCGGCATGGGTTCCTCTCAGCACTGCGCTCGTGGTGATGCCGTGGGACACCTCCCCAAGACGTCGTGCGGTTGACACCTTTGGTGGAGACGAGTTGGCGCACCGGGCAACAGTGCTGTGGGCACAATTGGCGCCGGGGGAGAACGGCACACGACCATATTTTCTGAGGGCCAGAGCACCGTTCGGCGCACCCATAGCCGCCGGGTTGCGTTGCGGGAGGAGAAGGAGGATTGCCTGCCCCGGCGAGGAGTGGACGTGTGCACTTTTACTCCCTGAAGTGGATCCGATGGCGGATGAATCCAACGGCACGCGACCGTGCGTTGACGATTCGTGGAGGGACACTGTGTTACGATCCGTCACCTCGACGAGCGATGGGAAAGAACTGAATTTGCGGAACTCCGTACAGCATGCGCTGCTTGTGAAAAGGGCGGGTAGTATTTATGAGGCGTTGGAAGGGGCCTGTCGCGGGGTGGGCCGGCGGTGTTGGACAAGCCGTCAGTGCGGGGATGGCGGTTCATCGCATGGCCAAAGGCAAGCAACGCCCATGAGGGCGCTGAGGCAACGTTTGCTCTGCCATTTCACATTTCACAGTATCTTAGCGCGGTGTGAGACGAAGCCGCCGCTTTACTGGATGTGGATGCGCCTTTTTACAGGCAGCTCTCTTGGCGGATGTGCACGGACGAGTTTCGGCTGTCGAGTGGGATTTGTGGATCTCGTGGAATTGACTCGCCCCCACACGGGCCGCGAGTGTTGTCCGGAAGTTCCCCGCACCACTGCGAGGGTCTTGGCGGAAAACCCACGAGATGGTAAGACCGCAGTCTGTGGCGCCGCGCGTGGTAAGGAGACTTCTGTTTGGATCAGCAGTATCCGGACCAGCGGGTTGCGGAGGAGTGTGGTTCGGCGGGACCAATGTGCGGCCAAGAGGTGGCGCCAACGGGAGAACAGGAGGTCCTTGCCAAGAGGTGTGAAGCCATCGGTGTATCCTTTAGCCGCGAGACGAAGAGTGTCGCCTTGAGGCACGTTGCGAAGACGAGGATTGAGGGAGGCCGCGTTTCTCCGAACACCTGCAGCTGAGGGTGTGGATGGTGCGGCCCCCGTATGATGCTGCGCGGCGGTGCGGGGGAATAGTGCTCGAAAATAATTTTTTTAAAAGGAGGCATAATCTGTTTAGTTGTTTTCAGATGCGTTCCGAACGGGTGATTTTTGGTATCCCTACACGTGTGTCGATGATTTGACAGTTCTGTGCCCAATGAGTTTAGGGAGAGGTTCGTTGGGATGTTTTGTTTTTTTTTTTCGGCGGTGGTGTTGCTGTTGATTAGCTTTTGCGCAATCACCGTGTGCTAACCAAATGGCGTTACGCAAATTTGGAATGCATCTCTTGAGGAAGTGCTATCAGGCAGATGGATGTGGAGGAGTGGAATTTGGGTGGCGGTGGAATGCGCTTTCGGCGACTATCTTTTTGTCATTAATTAACGACAATTAAAAATGAGGAGTTGTTTTTGAATCTCTGTTGGGTATTGCATTAATATGCGTGGGTGAAGAATGAAAATACGGAGGAAAATACATTCCCTTGCTTTTTCCATCACTTTGGCTTAAAGGAAGAAGGCGTAGTATAGCCTACTATTCTGTTTTTGTTGTTGTTGTTGTTTCTGTTTTTCTTCTATTTCTTATGTTGACCGTTGTTCACGACAGGTGGGAAGCAAGTAAGAACAATACTGTGTGAAGCGTTAAAAGCAGATGCCACCGAATTACTTGCCCATGCCAACGGACGTTCGTGCGACGATCCGTGACACAAAACGCATGCTACGAGAACACCTGCCGACATACAAGGAGGTATTCGATGAAATAGAGGAATTTATTTCTGCTCAGGTGGAGATCATTAAAAAGGAGCAGGCTGCCGGTATTGCCTCCGTGCCAGAGGTGCAAGCTCAAGATATATTTGATGGGAGTGTCAGTGAATCTCTCAAAAACAAAATTCGTCAACGTGGCTGTGCTGTCATCCACGGTGTCTTTCCGCGTGATGTGGCGGCTAAATGGAACGAGGATGTCAAGGCCTATCTGGATGAAAACAATTTCGAAGAGCGACTTAATCATGCCGCCGTGGATAAATATTTTTCAGAGCTTGCAAAGGGAAAACCGCAGATTTACGGTGTTTACTGGTCTAAGCCCCAAGTGGAGGCAAGACAAAGTGAGCGCATGAAGGCAGTACAGGTATTCATGAACTCTTTTTGGAAGTCGGAGTCTAATGGCAAGCAGCATTTTGACCCAAAAAACATTGTGACTTATGCAGATCGACTGCGTCGTCGACCCCCTCACTCACCACCGCTTGGACTTTCACCTCATGTTGACAGTGGCACAATTGAGCGTTGGCTTGATTACAAATTCCGCCATGTATACCGCAATGTCTTTTCTGGTAACTGGGAGGCGCATAATCCCTACGACGCGGAGGGTCGCACTGAAGTTCGGGAGATCAAGTCCCCGGCTATGTGCTCTGCGTTCCGTACTTTTCAGGGCTGGACAGCCCTTTCTCCACAACGCAAAAACGGTGGCACACTACGCCTTGTTCCAATTATAAACGCAATTCCATATATGCTGCTGCGCAGTTTGCAGGATGATGTGCCCGAAGATGACTTCTGTGGAGCCCAACCGGGTCGGGCTCTTGGCCTTTCCCCAGAGTGGCACAGCCTGTTATTGGAGGCTGAGTGCCCTATTCCCGAAATGGAGCCCGGTGACTGCGTCTTTTGGCACTGCGACCTTGTGCACAGCGTAGAAGCAGAGCATGAGGGGGAGTTTGACAGCAACGTCATCTATATTGCCTGTGTGCCACGTTGTGCAAAAAACGTTGAGTACGCCCGGGCTCAGTGGGAGGCGTTTCTAAGGGGCGGCTCTCCACCCGACTTTGCCGCAGACGATTTTGAAGTGAATTTCAAAGGTCGCGCCCGACCCGAAGATCTGACGCCAATTGGGAGGGCCCAAATGGATCCTTCTTACCTTGCTTCCAACAAGCTTTAGTTTAACAGTTTTTTTTTTTCTTCATTGTATGCAACCTTAATTGATGTCAATACTTTTTCTTTTTCTTTTTCTTTGTTTTTTTATTCTTTACGGCCTGCCTTCGTGAAGATCTGTCAAGAGTGATGCATTTTTACCCACCCTTATGTGCTGTCGCTGCCACCAAAGTAAGCGGGAGTTGCTTAAATAGGAACGGCAAAGGAAACAACAATTGAAAACGAAACTGTCAACAAAGAAAACGAAAACTAATTGGTTAACGTTGGTTTTTTGGGTTTTATTTAATATATATATATATATTTCTTAGTATCTTTTTATGCTATTGGTGGCGTTTTTTTTTTTTTTTTTTGGTTGTTGTTGTAGCTCCGCGTGCGTGTTACTTGTATTTTTTTTATTACTTGTTGCTGCCCCTATTTTTTTTTTTTTTTTTTTTGTGTGTGTGTGTGCTTTTTTAATTATTTTTTTTTCTTTTCTTTTTTGTTGTTGCAGCGTGCAGAAGGTGAGCGTTGCCGTGAAGATGGCGGAATTGGCGCAAAAAGCAGTCCTCATTCAATCCTCCGACACCAACTTTCAGTTTCATGCATTGGGGACGGTGAGCGGCCCTGCAGGGGATCAGCTGCAGTCCATTGCGGCGTCTTTGGAGCACTACGCGGCGTTGGGCTTCCAGGCCTCACACTTTTCACAGGCAGTTGCTATTTGCAAAAGGATGTTGCAGCCACAACCTCCTTCTGTGGCGGTGAAACAATTGACGGGCTCCAACGATGCGAATGGAAAAGATGCTTCATTAACACAAGTCTTGGTGCAACCGACCATTTTCCTTGGGGCAACGGCAAATTTGTTTGGTACGGGCTGTCGCGAGGCGATTCGCTTTCTTTGTAAAGAAAGCGTTTCTTTACCACATGGTGTCTTGCCAGCGGCCATGCCTGATGAAATGAGTATGCCGAGTTGTGACATTGATGACGAGACGATTCCTTTGAATCCGCCCTTTTATTCCAATGCGCTCATTCATGCGTTGGTCGTGAGTGGAGGTGCGATGGAACATGATATTCGTCGCGCATGTGAACCGTACCGGATCACCAACTATGGAGGCTTTGATGGAACTCCGTCACATCAACAACGACAGGAGTCTGCAACGGCAGGGGAGGATGTTGCTCGGTTTGGAAATATAAGCTATGGCGGTAGTGGCACTGGAACAACCTCGTCTATTTTTACTTCCGTCATGCGCCGCCTGGTGTCACGTTTACAAGCAGCGCAGAAGCGTCGTAAGGACGCCTCTACCGCCAAGCCAATTCCTGCGGCGCACGACGATGTCTGTGAGTGGGCGTTCAGTCCAAGTACAGTGTGGTACATGACCGGCCGCTGGCTACCAGAACTTTTTACAGAGGTCTTACGTGAGAGGAGTGGAGGGAACATGGAGGCAGTCGCTGAAGAGGCACAGCGGCGTGCTGAGAGCACAGTGCTGTATTGGGCCTCCATGAACGGTGTACCCATTTTTTCACCATCCTTCTCGGATGGGGATATCATGAAATTTATTCTCGACACGGAGGATTTGACAACCGCCAAGCTGAAATTGGATCTTGTTGTGGATATTTACCGCCTCAATAAATTTGCTATGCGTAGCCAGCGAAGCGGAATGATTATTCTTGGAGGAGGTGTGGTGAAACACCACGTGTGCAACGCAAATCTTATGCGCAATGGAGCCGACGGTGCTGTGTTCATCAACAATGGACAGGAGTTTGACGGCAGTGACTCCGGTGCACGTCCAGACGAGGCGGTTTCGTGGGGCAAAATACGTCTTGATGGCGAATCTGTAAAGGTGTATGCGGAGGTGTCACTTGTCTTTCCGCTGCTGGTTGCGCAGGTGTTTTTGCCTTTTTTGCGAGCAGCGCGCGGTGTGTCGCTGGCGGAAGAAAGTGAATTTTTGTAGAACAACAGGAAAAACAAAAAAAAAAAGGGAGAAGCAACGTTTGTTATTTTTTGCCAGGCGCTGTGCCGTTTGACGTCCTCATTCAGGCACAAGGAAGAAAAAATATGAGGACGCAGAGAATATTTTTAACCATATAATAATAATTTTTGCCGGACATCTTTTTTTTTCTTCTTCTTTTACATTTTGGTGAGGCGTGGAGGATGCCGGAGGCGCTGAAACCAAAAATTTGCATTATTTTTTGTTGTTGCCTTCTTCTTGTGGAAGTAACAGAGGGAGGGGGGAGAACGGCGCCATTGAAGCCCATATTTTTTTTTGTGTTTTCTCTTTATGTTTGTTTGCGTTTCTCGAAGTAGTGGAGTGAGGCGAGCCTGTAGAGGTTTAGCCAAAGGGATTCTTTACCCTTTGTGCCGCTCTTTTGACGCCTTGGTCGTGGATGGGCGGGGAGCGACTTGTTGGTCACATGCACGCTTGGGGTTCCTTTCCTCTCAGTACTGCAACGACCGTTTTCAACGTGCTGCAGGCACTGACGAACAATACTAGCATCAGTGGGGGTGGCAATCCTCACCCGCACGGTGTGTTGTTGGATGCGGCCATGGCAATATTGTTTTTGGCCCTTGGGAAATATGTACACAGGTTCTTGACGGAAACGTGGCCACGCTGGAACTTGGCGCAACTGAGAAAGTTGCTTTCGTTAGACACCGCCGAGGATGCGGCGGCTGTCGATGTGTTTATAAATCAACCGGAGGAGTTTGTGTTTGACAACGAGTTGTTGGTGTTAGCGCTGGAACGGTATGTCTCGCATTTACTTCATTCTGGGAACCAGGCACGGCAAGGCGATAGTATTCGTGAGAATGCGAGCAATAAATCCCCGGCAAATTTGTCCTCCCGACTCTTTTACGAGGCGGAGTACTGCTATGGTCCAATTGCTCTACTGAAGTCGAGCCATCGCATGAGTGCGGCAGAGATGCTGCGAAAGCATTACTTCCTGTTTACGCTTCCCGCAGACGGTGATCCGACGGAGGTGGAGCCTGGTCTCACAATCTGGTTTCAAAAGCAGTTGGTGAATGTCTCAGCGCTCAGGGAAGGCAGGATTCTTCCGCGTCGTGGAGGGAAGCCCGTCATGGAAGCCTTTATTCCCCTTAACTTTGATGCCTCCCCAGTAGTAAATGCCTTTACAGATATCCGCACCGCGGCAGAGAACGCAGTAAGTAACGTTCGCGGTACCGACAATGAGGTTGGTGGTAGAGATGATGATTCGGAGTCTTTGAGTGAAGAAGACGACGACTCTAGCACCAAAAGTGCCTGGCAAAACATGAAGAAGGTGTTTGTGCATCAAGCAATACTGCAATGTACTGACAAAAGTAAAAAGGGAAAGGAGCGTATAATGGATTTTGCTAGACGTGCGTATGCGTGGTACACCAAAAATGCCGTCGAGCCAGTGGAACGGTACTACTTTCTTTCCTCCACTTCCGAGTTGCACCGTGCCTTGGGGCTGTGTCCAAAACTACCTTCAGGAGCTTTGCAGCGCTGGCCTATGAGGCAATTTGTTCTTCCCTCGGCTGGTTTCAGCTTCCGAAATCTGTTTTTTGAACAGAAGGCGCAGCTGTTGGCTCTTCTTGAAGAGTTCAAGCAAAAACAGGGCAAGTTTGCACTACCGGGCGTTGCACATCAGCTGGTTATCCTTTTGCATGGCATGCCGGGTACGGGAAAGAGCGCCATTGTACGCAACATTGCGTCGTTCCTTGATCGTCATATTGTAGCACTACCCATTGAACATATTCAAACGGACAGCGCGCTGCGTGGTGTCCTTTCTGGTGCTGGTGT